GCCCCTTTGCATCCAACACGCTTCTACATTGCTTTTGTAGTATGGTAGGCAAGAAGGCAATGAACGATACTTCTATATACTGTGCTTCGAAAGTTACCACATTCTCGTCCAAGGTTTGCGCGAGGGAGATCGAGAAAGAATTGTCACGATTCTCGTGTATACGCGTTCTATATTGCGTATGTAAATATTTCAACTACTAGGAGGCGATTATTCGCGTGTTTTAACAAATCAGTATCTGTTATAACTAGACTGCAGATATTTATACGTTTCACGTATATTAGAATATGCAGACAAAATATACGAAATATGAAAATATGAGATATAAAATGTGTTCGAGGAATGTGCAAAATACACGACAAGTATATTAAAAATATGTTGTAATAATGGGATCGTTGTTAACTATAATTTAAAGCATATAGTTAATTGATAAAATTAATTTATAATTCGATATATATTTGTGTTGTTTAACATGACATGACGTATAACGAGATGTGTACAAATACAAACATACACAACGAGATTGTATATACATACAAAGTCCAATTGTGTTGACTTATTTATGGTTTCTTAATAACTTTGGTCATCTTTTAAAATTGCAGCAGTTTATAATATAGATATAAAGTTTATAAAATACATTTGGTATATACTAACTTAATATATTTAAAATAAGTATGCAAGACGTATGCAAAATTATCTAAAAACAAAACAAACTCACATTATTTTATTATTAATTTTTTGTTTGCACAAATATTTGCAATCTACTTATAACATGAGAGAAATTTCATAATATACAAAACTATAGTTAAGCATTACCTTTATTTATTATTCAATCTTTTTATATAAGCTTCATCTGTATTTTTTTCTCTTGAAGTAGGATATTTTCTAATAATTTTGCGGTCATCTCTTTCATAAATATTCTTATTTTGTCTTCTTTTCTCTTTTAATTTATCATATGCATCATGTTTTGTTTATCTTTAAAAAAATCTTTTAATAATGCAATATTTTGTGTATTTTTTTTTTAGATAATTCTATTTTATAGTACATTGTAGTAGCATGAATGTTTAGTGTTCTCTTTATTAATCTGTATTAAAAAAATGTTTCACTATTTTTTTTCTTTTTTAAATAAATTCTATGTTAATGTAATATATATAATTTGTAATCTTTTATTATTAATAATTTAATAATATTTTGAATATATTTTACTTAGAAAAGTTTGAATTTAAAATTTATTTTTATTATTTTTATTATATTTTTATTATTTTTATTATTTTTATTGTATTGTAATATTATTTCATTCATGCAAAGGATCAACTTCTAGAAATACATTAACATTGTGATATAATATTGCATTAATGATATTAAATGGTTTTTATTAATTTTGAAATTGATAGTTTCATAAATTTTGTACATAAGAAATAAAGTAGACTTTATTAAAAAAAAAAATAACTGCATGCAACTTTTGTTCTTTATATATAATTTAGTTTAATGTTTGTATTTTACATATCATTGAGTATATATGAAAATGATATAACGATTTTAAATCATTTATAATAATTACATGTATTATGTATAATTTATTAATTATAAAATGTACATCAAGAATGTTTAATTTAAAATTGTTAGCTATATTAACAAAATTTATGAAAATAAATAAAATAATGTTCAATTTTCTGTTATATAAATAAATGTTTTCTCCTTAAAAATAAATGATTTTTTTTCTCTGATAAATCTGCTTATACTTTAAGTGAGCTTATAATAAAAATAAGTAAAAATGCAATATAATATTTTTTTGATAATACATCATTGTATTTTGCAATATATATAATGTCAAGTTAATGATCATTTTATTTTTCCTAAAGTGTTGGTAATGCACTTGCTTGCCCTACCCTTGAGAACGATGGACTCTGAGCAAAGAAATCAGCAGGTATATCAACACTAAACAAAGCTAAAGAATGAATGCCTGCTGCACTCACGCCGCCAACACAGAACAAGCAGACTTAACATTTATGCAAATAGTGTGTGAGTAGCAGCTACTCACGCCATATTCAGACGTATATATCTGTTTTCGCACATGGCAGCCATGAAGCATGGTACGTTTTATTCTTGTATGCTTTGCTTTGTATGTAAATTTGTTTAAATGCCTATATCAGTATAGTTTATCAGGAAAGAATTGATTGATAAATCTTTAAACTATAATAAATGTATATTCTATATATATTTAAAAATATATAGAAAGCAGAATGTATCTAAATAAATTGTAAATATAAGTATATTTTTTATTTTAGGTTTTATGTTATATTTTCTTAAATATTTTATCCAAAGTTTAATTTTGTGACTTAAGAATTAGTTAATATGGTAAATTTTGTATATATTGGATATTTTATTTTCTATATCTCAATAATTGTTTTCTTTCTCAACTATTGTTTTTATTATTATTACTATTATTATTAATAAGTATTACTAAATTATATGATGATACATATATATAAAAACAAAATGTTTTTTTATGCCTAAATGCTAAAATATATATCCAAATTTTAATCTTATGATCTGATTTCTCTAAAAGCTTCTTATTACAATAACGTTAAATTTGAAACTTAAGATTGTTATAATGAAATTTTTATATTCCAATTAAAATACACAATATTTTAAAAAGATATTATTGTAACAATTTTCAGGCAAGACAAGTCAGGACGACGTATGTTATGTTGTCGCTAAATACGACTATGGGGCACAAGGTGCTCAGGAACTAGATTTACGGAAAAATGAACGATACTTGCTTCTCGATGATTCTAAACACTGGTGGAGAGTACAAAGTGCAAGAGGCCAAGCTGGCTATGTGCCAAGTAACTATGTCAAAAAGGAAAAGCCATCTCTTTTTGACAGTATTAAAAAGAAAGTCAAGAAAGGTTCTGGTTCAAAAACTCTACCATCCAGTAATTCACCATCCAGAGCTGTAGAATCTCCTATTATGGCTAGACGCTTGCCTGCTGATCCAAGTGAAGCAATAGGCACAGCAGTTGTCAAGTACAATTACCAAGCACAACAAGCAGATGAACTGTCACTCGTCAAAGGCACTAGAATCTTAATATTAGAAAAAAGTAATGATGGTTGGTGGAGAGGTCAAAGTGGTACACAAGCAGGATGGTTCCCATCAAATTATACTCACGAAGAAGGAGATGCAGATGATACTCTTCATACATATGCAATGGCGGAAAACGTCCTTGATATTGTTGTTGCACTTTATTCATTTTCTTCCAATAATGATCAAGAATTATCGTTTGAGAAAGGTGATCGCTTGGAAATCCTTGACCGTCCACCAGCAGATCCTGAATGGTATAAAGCAAGAAACAGTCAAGGTCAAATAGGTCTAGTGCCCCGTAATTATCTTCAAGAACTGAGTGAATATTTGACACAACCATATCGCGAAAGAGGAATGACAAGTAGTGAGATTAGTACAGGAGACTCTCTTGAAAGAAGGCCAGATCCTGGTGATAGACCACATCTTGTTGGGAAACCTTGGTACTATGGTAGCATTTCACGTTCGCAATGTGACACATTATTGAATCAACATGGTCATGACGGTGACTTTTTAATTAGAGATAGTGAAACTAACGTAAGTATAGATAAAAATAATTTCATTACTACAATTTTTATCTCTAAATTAGTTTATTTAAAATATCATCTTGTTGACAATAACAAATAATATCATCAGTAAATTTTTAAATATAGTAAAATATTTGTTATTATGTAATTATAGTAAATTATTGTACTGTACATTAAATATAAATATTATAATATTTAGGTGGGAGATTATTCAGTATCCTTGAAGGCTCCAGGACGTAACAAACATTTTAGGGTACACGTGGAAGGAGCGTTATATTGCATTGGTCAAAGGAAATTTCATACATTAGACCAATTGGTAGACCATTATCAACGAGCGCCTATTTATACTAACAAGCAGGGTGAGAAATTGTATTTGGTGCGCCCATTACCAAAAGGCAACCCCAGTAGTAATGGTTGCTAGGTGAATTCGTGCCATGAAACGGTCCATGCGCTTTGAAATGTATCTCTGAGATACGCAATGCCTGCCTAGTAATATCAATATCACACATCTCGTATGTTTATACATAACAATTAATATAATTGGTGAACTCATATATTAGTGTTTCTTGATTGTTTGTCCATTTACACTGATAAATAATTTATTACTCTAAGTAATTGCCACCAACAATTCTTCATTAATTGGAGCTTCCATACTATTTAGCAAATAAAGCTAAGAGGAAAAAAAAACATTTGTACGGCAGCTATATGACAATTGACTAGTTGACACACAAGGCTTCTCTTTATATCCATATGTAATTGTAAAACACGATCGACCATGTTATTACAATTAATAATATATTTACAACTACACGTAATGTAGACTGCAAGTGTAATGATCAAATAACGGTTAATTATCATGCAATTATGACCGGTTAAGTGGATCTCTACTCTGAATCTATTGGTATTGAATTATGACAAAGACTAAGTGTTCATTTGTGATTTTGTATTTATTAGAAATTTTTAAGTAAATAAACTATATTTAAGTGTGCATCAGGTAAAATGTAGTATTTTTTCAATCCCTTATTTATTACGTATACATTTATTACTACATATTTTTCAATATTAAAACTCTGCTACATTTATATACTGGACATTAATAAATATGATTTAATTTAGAAACATTATAAAGATTCTTGTTTCTAGTATTTAAAATATATTTACATATTTTATTATGTTGTTGCGACTAGAAAAATTTTTATATTTGTACAAAAAATTTATATACAAACATAATTTATAATAAGATTCATAAAATCAAATTAAACTGAAATATATCAAGGGATGATTTTACTAGGCACAATACATTGGTAACAAATATTAATCTTTATTTAACGTGTATATTATATTCATAAATAAAAGTATTATTTAATCATATGAATAAGAGATTGGTGCTCCTGTAGATAAAAGTTAATGGCACTAATTGCCAATAAGGTCACGTATATAAACAATCGCCCTAAACTAAACATATTTTAGGTCTATATTATTTGTTCGTAATTCCATTAAAAACTTATGCTTATTTAATCATAAGAAAGGATTGTTCGAATTTCTTGTCATGTTGCTCACACCAGAACCAACCTAAAAACGCTTATATGTTTAGATATATTTTTGTTTGGATAAAATTCGTAGAGCTAAAATGAAAATACTAAATTCATACCATAAATGGATTTGCATGATATGCTGGAAGAGTTGGTTGCCATACTTTATTTGTCATTAATTGACTAAACTGAATTACATCTCTGTTACTAGATGGTCCAATACCTACCCACTGTGAATCTAAAATATTTACATTTTTTAATTTATTTCGAATGTTCAATGTATTAAATTTTACATTCTTTGAATAAGAACTTACCATTATTCATAGGAAACTGTACTGGTTTAAAGGGATTAATAGGATTATATAGAGACGTATCAATTGATTGTGTATTATTATTAACTACATTTGATGGTCGCCATAAATCACCACTTGCAAATGGATTTGAAATTACATTTGTAGTTTGATTTCCTACACTCCAAAGTGAATTTGAAGCTGTGAAAAGAACAATATAATAACTTTATAAAATTTTAATAAATGAAAAATTTAATAATACATATAGATCATGCACATACCATTATTAGCATTCCACGTGGATGTATTTAATGTTGTTGCAGTATCATCTTTCAATTGTATTTGTTTCATTAGAGAATCTAAGTCCTTCAGTGCCGCATAACGATCTTCTGATGGTGGTACATGTGCACCATTTGCATTCATTGTATTAGTCGAATTTCCTGTAGTCTGACTAAATGGACTCGAGGATTCGATATCTAAAAAAAAAAATCAATTATTAATATAAAAATCATATTATATTAACTTGTAAAAATAAAAGCATAAAACATTGATTCACTTTACTTGTATTTTTTTGACTATTAAAAATGGGATTGTTGTCAAAATTGGCAAAAAATGGCTGAGGTACAATTGGTTGACTGAGTTTATTTGCAGGTATTGTAGTAGTTATAAATGGATCAGGAACTTTGCTGAAATCAGCTACAAAATCTGTCGAAAAATTATTAAAATTAACTGATTCAACAGTATTTGTTTTTGAAGCTGATGTAGATGTAGTAGAAGATAATGTTGTAGTAGATGTTCCAGAATGTGGAACCCTTGGAATGTTGGTTGGATTAGATGATTGTGATTTTTGATTTGAATTTTGATTTGCCATGGACGGATCCAAATAATATCTTTTAAGCTCATATTTTGCACTCATTAAATCTTTCATCTTTTGTTCATCTTTTGTATCTAAAGTCTGAGATGAATTTTGATTCATCAAGCCTAACCATATTCTTCTGCAATATTCATTACCACGTTCCTTTATAAAATCTATTTCTTCTTGAGTAAATGTTGCCATAGAAATAGATTTTACTCTATGTGGTGGTGTCAAGCCTCGTCTGTAATTTCAAACAAAATTACTGATATAGATCTTTTTCTATTTTAAATTTAAATATTTATATTTAAATGCAAAATCGGAGTGCACTTATACATATTGATTGATAAAGTTACTAAGATTTTTAACAATAACAATACAAATATTAGATCATTCTATAATAAAAAAAAAATATAGCTTTTTTTGTATCAATAACTACTTCCTAACTAACAGTGTTGCTATAAAATTCTTTCTTTTTTGATAAAATTCCGATTATAACAATTCCATCATTCTGCTTATGGAAAGATACTATAATACTCACCGATATTTTAATAATGGAGTAGAATAATCACAATTAGAATACGGATAAAAATATTAAAATTTTATTGAAGTTTTCAATAATATAATTTACGAGTAATATACATTGAATGCAATTATATAATTTTAGACCAAAATGAATAGTCGATAAAAGATTTAAAAACGAGGAATATTTGTTCTGTTATCATTTGTGATATTTCCCAATTTAACCACTATTTTCAGTGCCAGCTAATTGTAAATTAATTATACTATGGACTTCATGAAATAGATACCGATGCTCTATATTATTTATGAATAGAGCATATTTTGATCTTTGATAACAACTACTACGCACAAAGAGAACACTGATACCGATAGTACATATTGACTTCCTGACCGCAAATGCGAACATTTTAACAAAGATCCATGATCAACTATTCATATGTTCGTAGTAAAGTACATGTTCGTCATCTGTGTTTTCAACAGAGTCTACAAACAGTAAATACATTTCATTTTCGATTAAATGCGAGACACACATACAACTTATCCGAAACCTATATTCGAAATAATGACATTCACCAAGTGAAAATCAGAATTATTCGATCGCCGAAATATTATGCAAAACAGCTGTAAAGTATATTTCGGTCAGTTCTATTTATAATATGATAAAATACAATGAGGTAAAATAACAGTTACGTCACATTTTTTGCGAGTGAGAAGAACTTGGTACACTTTATTGGCTTCTTACAAGTAACGAGTACTTACAGCATACCAGAACAAGAGGTACAGACGAACGAACCGATTGTCATGTTGACGTAAGTTGGGCCTCGTTGACGGCAGTCGAAACATTCTTTATTACCAGGTTGGGAGACCAGCTCGCGTAATATTTTCAAATTTTTCTCGTCTTGCTTTCTTTTCGCGGACGCCATCATACACGGAGAATGCACTTCACGATCACGAATGGAACAAGGAGAGACACAACTCTCGCGCCCTGCTTGCGGAACTGACTCAATTTTCTGTCACGATAGTCGCGCGTGTTCCGTAACACATTCTAAAAATGTTTCACGGAGAAAACACGAAACGCAGGCTAATATATTTGTAATAATTCGTTTTTTTTTATGGTTGATTCTCACTCGTTCGCAGTCTTCATTTTCATGTAATTTTACTGTGTTCTTTTTTGTTTTCAAAGTAGAATATTTTGTTAATTTACTCTTTGCATTTGTTTTCTTCGCAGATGAATTTTGTTTTTCTTGCAATAGAATTCAAATAGGAAATAGTTGATATATGTCATGTAATGATACCATCGCTAGTATATTATACAAGTATACTAAATATTAGATAGTATTTAGATGATAGAATTGGTACTATACAATAGTGGTATCATCTTATAAAGAGATTTAAAAGATCTATATGATTTAACATGTTATTATAACGTGCAATAAAAGAGATTAATATATTTTAAATATATTATAAACATTACGCTCGCTTCAAAATGAAATATTTTTATTATCTTAAATATTTGCTTAGAAAGATATTTTATTTATAATTTAATGATAGATAAAATAATTAACCAAAATAATTACCGCGAAAATTCGATTGCAACCTGTGCATTAAATTTTCAATGTATTTTATTTCGATGGATTTTGTCTAGAGTGTTGGAAAAATATTGTAAAATACTTATGAAATGTAATTGCATAATTCAAAAATTTTCCATCTCAGATAAGCTTCAAATGGATTAGAAATAGAACTATTTACAGCTGCCTTTTGATCTATTTATAAATCAAAGATAAATAACCTGCACGTGCCAATTGTATAAACGATTTGATTGTAATGTAAGTAAAATAACTATTCGAAAGAACACAGTCAAGGTTAATGCGCGTATACGTGAACGCGAATTAGAGAAAAAGTTTTTCGTTATTCCAGTTATTGTCCTAATTAATTTTTACTGTACTGAAAAAATTGATTGCTTATTGAACGTTTTATTATATTTCATATAAAGATGCTATTGGAAACTACTAATGGAAATAACTACTAATGGAAACAACTGTTATGTGATTGCTAAAAAATAAAATCAAGTTAAGAAACCACGATTTGATTGATCTGAATATGACATCTCTCGCGACGACATCCACAAAAAGGTTTATTTCTCTTAAACTAATTTTTCCAACTAATTTTCAATTAATTTTATGCGAGTATTATGATCAATCTTTTATCCGTGTAGACCTCCTCACAGCAGAAATGTTCGGCAAGGTAGTCTTATTGATTTGGATATTGATATGTTTCTCAAGATATCAAATTATGAAGATACAGTCAGGCAGCTTGACATCTATTATGGAATTGGTAAGAACATTCATTTTTATATTATTTCATAGGAACAAAATATATAGGTTATATATACTTTGTTGTTTATATTTACTTTCTTTTACTTTGTTGTTTATATTTTCAGTCAAAAGACAATTACTACGCTATCAAAGTTGTATAACAGGTCTTTTTCCACAAGTTTCAAACGATAAAGTAGTTGGAAGTGTAAGAGAAAGTATTTATTGCGCTGCTGCTGTGTGGAGTTTGTATCAAGCATATAGGTATTAAAAAATTAAATTAAGATTGAATTAAGTTAGGATTGAATATTATATATAATCTAATGCTTTTTAGGCGTATAGATGATGATCGTGGAAAGTCTTATGAACTTGGACAATCAGCTGTAAAATGCATGCGTGGAATTTTAGAATGTTGGGTGAAACAATCACCTAGAATAGAGTTATTTAAACGCAATCAGTGCGATCGCTTTGCATTGCATTGTAAATTTTCTTTAGATACTGGTGATGAAATTTTTAAAGATGCTGACTACAATCATTTGCAAGTAATTACAATGGACATTGAAATATGATAAAGATTGAATGGTTCAAGATAATTATTATATCAACTTTTTTATTTTTTATAGATTGACATTGTTTCCTCATATTTGATATTTTTAGTACAAATGATTTCTTCAGGATTGCAAATTATATATACTCAAGATGAAGTAGCGTTTATACAAAATCTGGTGTATTATGTGGAAAGAGCATATCGTACACCAGATTATGGCATGTGGGAACGTGGTAGTAGATATAATGATGGCACACCTGAAATACATGCAAGTTCAATTGGTATAGCCAAAAGTGCTCTTGAAGCTATTAATGGATGCAACTTATTTGGAGAAAAAGGAGCTTCCTGGTCAGTCATATATGTTGACATTGATGCTCATAATCGAAATCGTAGCATTTTCGAAACGATGCTTCCAAGAGAATCAAGTTCTAAGGTAAAAAATGCATATATTATGTAAAAACATATTATAATTTAAATTTTAATATATTACACTTTGTAGAGTGTAGATGCAGCTTTATTACCAACAATATCTTTTCCTGCATTTGCCACTCACGAAGAAATATTATATAACGAGACGAAGGCGAACATAATACGGAGATTAAAAGGCAATTATGGATTTAAAAGATTTGGTAGAGATGGATACAAAACAGTTATAGAAAACAAAGATCGACGATATTACAAATCTGGTGAAATCAAGGTCTCTGATGTATTTGATTGTTAGTATATACTGTTTTCGGAATGTGTTTAAATGAATCTGTAATTTTTCTGTGTTTATTATATACATTTATAATTAATTACATTAATTAACTTTCTTTAATAATTATGAAATAATGTTAAGAAAAATATTTTTTTTGCTTATAGGAATTTGATCATATAGAATGTGAATGGCCATTGTTTTATATATTTATGATTATTGATGGTGTTTTTAAAACCTTGCCAGAACAAGTGGAAGAATATCAAAAATTGTTAAAAGAACGGATATACAAAGATATTAATGGAGGTATGTTAATAGAAAATAATATTAGTATAACATGCTATTATATTTTGTCTAATTAAATAGATCCTGTAATACCTATGTATTACTATGTACCTGAGGAAAGTTTGGAACTAGAAAGAAATGATCCTGGTAGTACATATCGAGTACCAAGTGCTGAAGGAAGAGGACAAAAAAGTTCAACAGATACGGAACATGGACCAATGTATTTGTGGAATCAAGCTATGTTTATAATTGCCCAACTACTTACTGCTGGTTTATTACATATTAATGAATTAGATCCAATTAGACGTTATCTTCCTTCGTACAATAGACCACGAAAAGCTGGAAGGTATTCAGCTTTTCAAGTAAGTACAAATATAGTTTAGTTAATATATTTACTAAATTAATTAGTTGTAATAAATTATTTTGTACATGTTTGTTTCATGCAGGCTAAACCGACTATTGTAAGTAAATGATACTGTAGTATAGTACTTTGTAGTATTTTTTTTTTAGTATTTGCAGATTGATAATAGCTTTATAATGTTAGTTAAAAAATATGTATGTATTTGGAGCTGTCAAATTAAACAAATGATAATACATGCTTGAATCATATAATGTATTGTAGTGTTGAATGTTTCTTATTTGCATATATTGATACCAGATTAGTTAGAATAGTTGTCTATTATATAAACATATTAATATAAATATTAGAAACATTTTTTTTTAATTAAATAGTGCATGGAGCTTGGACCAAGGCATGATTTATCTTAGTCCTCATTTAAAATGCTTGATTCTGTTATCTTACTTCTTTTTTTTCTTGAGATTTCTATTTTACATTATATAGTTTATCTAATTGACAAATTAGTTCTAAAACTTCTAGTCTTTGTATTGTATTAAGGAATGTGAAAATGTATTACATTAATAATTTCAGCATTGTTATTATATTATAATAATGCATGATTGATCTATTATAAAATTTCTGTATATTAGGGTACTCATACTGATCTTGTAGTACAAATCGTTCTTATTGCTGAATCCATGCGATTACAAGCTATGATGGCAACATATGGTATACAAACGCAAACACCACACGAAGTGGAACCTGTACAAATATTGTCATCTACACAATTAGTAAAAGTTTACGAAAAATTGGGTGTAAATAATAAATTAAATCTACGAGGCCGACCAGCAAGGCCAATTGGATCTTTAGGTACAAGCAAGGTATGTATTGAATACATAAAGTAAAAATTGATGCAAAAAATTTAATACGATTTTTTGTAGGTTTATAGAGTATGTGGTATGACAGTACTCTGTTACCCTTTAATATTTGAAGTGTCAGAATTTTATCTGTACAGAGACATGGCTTTATTAATCGATGATATTAAAACTGAACTTCAGTTTGTAGGCAAATATTGGCGACTTTCAGGTCGACCTACTGTGTGTCTTTTAATACGAGAAGAACATATGAGGTATTTATTTAGAAATTAAAATAGCTTTTGACATTATACATATAAATAAAAATTTTCTTTTTTTTTAGAGATCCACAATTTAAAGAAATGCTTGATCTTTTTGCTATGTTAAAAAAAGGATATTGTGATAAAACAAAAGTACGAATTGGTCGTTTGCAGAATCTCATTTCATCTTCGTGTATTGGTAATTATTATTTATACATTTTTTATTTTATTATTTATTAAATGTAAATTTTTATTACATAAGTTTTAAATTTGCATAGAACATTTGGATTTCATAAATACTATAGAAACAGATCTTGAACTCAATCAATTTAAACAATTAGAACATGATTATATTGGATATCAGAGTTTAACAGATGTACCTAAAGCTTTAACTTATTCCGAAAATATAAAAGATTATTCTGTAAGTATTTGTAAATAATTATTTCTTTGTTTAGTCTAATTATTTCATGTTTCAGTATTATGTAAATGAACCATTATATAATATATTAAATGAAATTCGTAACAATAAAAGCTTATATACTTTGTGTCAACTTTATGGCATTTTGCTAAAACGGGAAGGACTTAACTATGACATTAATGGAATGACAGGTACTAATATAAATTGTTATTTAAAGATTATGGGTATATGTGATATTTATCTTTATTAACATTTTATATTATAGTTGGAGATCACTTAAGATCATTGTATCAACAAGCAGGGTGTCTTAGATATTGGATGGTTGTTCGTTACTGTAGCAGTTTATTGAATCATACAGTTGATAGTATAAGTCCTTTTATAACAGGAGTTCTTGTTAAAGGAAAACAGGTATTTTTATTGAATTATTTTAACGTGCAAATAAAGTATAATTTTTTATTCTTTACTAATATTAGATAACAGTTGGAGTAATTGGACAAGAAGAAACAGTATTTGATAAACCAATGACACCCGTAGAAATTCAGTCAGTTATGTATTCTACAATTCAACCACATAATGTAGTTCAAGCAGTACTTCAACAAGAAGTATTATTGTACTGTGGTCGACTTATTGGAACAAATCCAGAAATGTTTAAAGGAATATTAAAAATTCGTATTGGGTATGTCATATTGAGTGTCTTCAACATTAAAAAAATGTAATGTTTAAATGATTATTATTAAATTTTTCTTATCTCTTTATAGATGGGTTTTAGAAGCAATAAAACTTTACTTACAAATGGTTGTTAAAAATCCTAAACCAATTGAGAACTATAGTCCATTTGAAATTCGCCAATTTCTTATAAAAGTATTAACGGTTAAAGATTGGGCCAACAATGAAAAGTATACCAATTCATTTTTCATGTAATATTTATTTATCTATTATTATACATAAATTAATTTTATGTTGTATTAGACTTACAGTTCTAGGGCGCAGAAAGATTGAAGGTTGTTTATGCAGAGTGCCCGCACATTTTTACAATCATGTTTGGGAAGTTTTAATGCGTTGTCCGGATGGTATTTGTGTTAATGGACGAGAATTACCTCAACAACCTACTCTGTCTAACATGACTCGTTCGGAACTTACATTTGCTTTGTTTGTCGAATCTTTACTTCATCATATACAATTACCAGAATATCGTCAAATTATTGTAGAGGTATTTCTTTTATTTATTTACATTTATATTTCCAATTGAATGAGAAATATAAAAATATTATATTTGCGGAAAAAATATACAATATTCTTCTTTACAGTTACTTACTATAGTGTCGACAATTTTACTTCGAAATCCAGAACTAAGTTTTCAAAAACAGTTAAATCTTAATAAACTTGTTGAAGATAGTTTCCTCATGTATTGTAAGGTACATATTATGATTATATATATTCCACTAATTACATATTTATATACATTATATAATATAATATATGTACATATTTTTATATTAATTGTTGTATATAAATTTGTTTAGGATAATAATTTGGAAAAATCTGTTGATCAGTCACTATTTTTCTCTACTCATTACTCAATAACTACAGGATATCTTGCTAGAGCTGTAGTTAACAATATGCTTACTGGAGGATGTTTTGCAACTATTAATGATATTAATGATGCGATTGAAAATAGAGAAACTTGCAAAATTGCATAGTGGAAAAAATGGAATATTGTTTGTAAACATATTAATCAAAGTTGTATTTATATAAGAATATTGTATTTTCTTAATATATATGTACATTTTCTCAATTAAAAACTTGCTTTACATAAATGAAATATTGAAATTCTAGGGTATGGTAAATCTATCTAAAAATCTGTATTCATATGTTAATAACATATATTGTGTGTTATACATCAAGATATTTTTTATAACACACAATATTTACTACATTACATTTTACTACATTACACACAATATTTACTACAATATTTACTACATTATATTTTACTACATTACATTTATAGATTATAATATTGTCTATAAAGAATTTTCACAAGTGTACAACCTTAATCATAACTTATATATAACTTATATATAACTTAATCATACTACATATTTAGAATCATCTTTTAGCGAAATTTGTATCCATTGCTCTTCCAGATCTTTGTATATTATTTATATTAGCTTTAATTCTAGAAGCAACAGTACCAACTTCTGCAGCAGCTGCTAATTGTTTTGTAACAAAATCTTGATTATATATTCTTCTACTATCCATTTCTTTCTTCTCCTCTTCACGATATTTTTTAACATTTCGCTCTCGTTCTTCATCCCTCCATGTTGCATTTGCTATCATTTCTTGCCTACGTCGTTCTTTTTCTTCTTCTGTAAGATTCTGTTTCTTTTTAAAATTCCATCTATCTTTGTTCCTATCTTCTTTATGGTGTTTTTTAATTACATCAGAAGATGATTTAAAATACGTTGTTTCTTTTTGAGTATATAATTTGTTTGGGACATCTTTATACCTATCCTTAGTATCGTACTTATTGTTATAAGTATTATTTCTTCTATCTTGAGGACTTCTTGAGCGAAAATCTTTGTCCCTGCGTTTACTTTTATCTCTTTTAAATGTTCTATCTTTTCTATCTTGAATTGAATTATCATCAGTTTCTTGACCTGTACTGTGTGCTCTAATATATTTTCCATGCGACTTATGCCTTCTTTCTTCATCTCTGTCAGATATTAAATATTTTTCTTTACTATATTTCTTAACTTCAGTATTTTTTTCTTTACTCTTATTTCTCTTCCTTTTGTTCTTTTTTAAATGACCATCACTTTTATTTTCTTCACTGCTACTTTCTGATTCGCTAATACTTGAAGTATCATTTTTTTTTCTTGATTTCCCCTTTTGTTTACGTTTTATCTTTTTCATTGATTTTATTAAATCGTCATTGCTAATTTTATCTTTCAATTGTTTATATTTAGTAGCCAGCAATAGATCCAGTTGTGCTTCATCATCACTATCAATATCTTGTATATTTCTCTTCTTCTTTTTTCCGTTCTTACTTTTCTTTGACTGTTGTTCCAGCTAAACAATTGATAATAATAAAGAAATATATTAAATGCTTTAATATAAAATATAATAATAAATAATAATGAAAATTGGTAATAATAAAGAAATATATTAAATGCTTTCAATAAAATAATAAAATAATAAGCAAATATTATCATTTACATACCAATTGTCGTAATTGCTTTAATTTAACAGGATTTTTTAGCAATTGACTTCTTGTTTCCATTTCCTTTTTTTTAATAGCATATAAAGGATCTTCTTGCATTTTTCTTGCTAAATCTACTTGTTCATTACCAGAAAAGAAACGTAATGATGGAGGAATACACTCTGAAATTGCAAATAAATTAGATATAAAAACTTTCAATATTACACTTTAGATTGTTATATTTAATATTAAATATACATTACCATGTTCAACATGATTTCTTGGTGCTTGATTTAATTCATTATCCTTTTCTACTTGAACCATTTGTTCAAATGATTTATCAATTGGTCGTCCAAGTAAATACTCTTCTCTATTAATCAATTGATTTGGTCCTTTATACATCCAATCTAATTTTTTGTCATCCTTCTTTTCTATGACACCTTGTTCCATTGCATACTTTTTCATATCCTCCCGATCTTTTTCCATTTCTATTTCTTTCTTTAGTTCAGCTATCTTTTTTTTCTCCTGACTTTGTTGCTGTTCTGCTTTCCAAACTTTTTCTATGTTCTTCATCGTGGATGGGTGCCACGATTTCTTTAAATTCTAAAAAATGAATGTAATTCTTAATTTTATAAAATAAATACTTAGTTTGCTTAGTTTGCTTTGTTTACTCAATATAATGCATAACCTAATACATATGTAAAATAAACCTAAACTTAACCTAAATTTCACTTTAACTTACCAAATCTCCTCCACCCATCTCTAACAGAGAATAAGACACAAAATGAGATGTCTTTTTTTATTATCCAGATTTATTATATATTTATTATATATTTATTTATTATATTCTGTTTTACTGTACGTAACAATAATAAGTAGTACTGCGATAGTAGTACTGCGATAGTAGTACTGCGATAGATACTGCGACACGTCACACGACAATGCAACAGTAACTGTGACACATTATTCACATACACGTCATCAGTGTAGTTAAAATAACTAGCAACTTTTCTTTCTTCGCATTGTCTATATGAAAAGT